AATAGACTGGGATCAGATAAGGAAATTTCAGAGTTCATAAACATGGAAGTAGTACATTTGTGAGTGATGGCAAGGGTATAACCATTTCTGTATTTAGGTGACATGGGCTGGAGGGGCAGATCATAGAACAGTTGAGGAACTGAGAGGTTAGGATTTTTGAGATGCATCAATACATACGAGGGAAGAAGGTGATAAGAAAACAAAGACTGTGAGCCAGGCACCAATCTCATTAAAGAAAGGAGAGTGCCCCGGAAGTCACACAACTACCACCAAAATCTGGGTAGACTGATTGGGTGGTAGATATGGACTGAATGAACTCAAAAGAGGAATGAGTGGTAGTGAAACAAGGTGACAATTTTTTTCAAAGTACTTGGCTTAAAAAGGGAAGAGGATAATGAAAGCTAGCACTTATATAGTGCTTTAAAGTTTACAGTTCCCTATTCCAAAGAGCTACAAAACTGCATATCCTTTGACCCAGCAATACCACTTCTAAGGCTGTATCCCAAAGAAATCATAAAAATCGGAAAAGAACCTACATGTACAAAAATATTCATAGCAGCTCTTTTTGTGGTGGCAAAAAATTGGAAATTGAGGGGATGCCCATCAGTTGGGGAATGGCTGAACAAATAATGGTATACGAATGTAATGGAATACTATTGTGCTATAAGAAATGATGAGCAAGTGGACTTCAGAAAAACCTGGACTTATATGAACTGATGCCAAGTGCAATGAGCAGAACCAGGAGAACACTGTACACAGTTAACAGCCACACTGTATGATGAGTGACTCTGATAGACACAGCAATGCAAGGAACTAAGACAACTCCAAAAGTCTCATGATAGAAAACACTATCCACATCCAGAGAAAGAACTCTGGAGTCTGAATGAAGACAGAAGCACACTACTGCTCTCCTCTTTTGTTGTTCTGTTTCTTCTTTCTCATGGTTCATCTCATTAGTTCTAATTCTTCTTTACATCATGACTAATGTGAAAATGTTTACCATGAATGCATAAGTAGAGCCTATATCAGATTACACACTGTCTTGGGGGAGAGGAGAGGGAGAAAATTTAAAACTCAAAAGCTTATGGAAGTGAATGTTGAAAACTAAAAATACATTAATTTTAAAAAAAAAAAAGTTTACAGTTTCTTACACACATTATTGCATTTGTTAATAACAGTTCTGTGAAGTAGGCAGGAATTCTCCCCATCTTACAGCTGAGTCTGAGAGAGGTTAAATGCTAAGCTGACTGACCATAAAAGAGATATAAGACAAGTCTGAAGGAATGAAAGGGTCTAGTGAAGGTTTTTTTAAAAGGATAGGGGATAATCTCCTGGCAGCCTCAGGGCCAAGATGGTGTCTGTGCAGTCACCATCATCTCTGCCCAAACCAGTGCCACCCAGAGGAACGTCAGGGAGAGGCATCCAAGCGTGATGGGGCCCCCCCCTTCATTATCGAGGCTGCTGTCCACAGAAACGCCACCATTCTGGACTACTGCAGGACATCCATGTCTGTCCTCTCCAGGGCAAACGTCAACAACTCTCCTGGGCTTGACTGGCTTCTACAGCTTAATCTTCTATTTCCTGGCATCCTCTCTGCTCCTAGTACTTAAGGCCGGAAGACAATGGAACAAGTATTTCAAATCTAGGCGACCACTCTTTACTGGGGGCCTTGTTGGGGGGCTCTTCACCTACATCCTCTTCTGGACTTTCCTCTACGGCATGGTGTATGTCTACTGAGGGAAAAGGGATTGGCGTGCGCAGAAAGACTCTTGCTGGGGTTAACAAGATGTAGTCTGATAGTCTTCCAAGGGAATTGACTGTGCTGTTAATATTATTAGTAATTTATGTCAGAAGAGAGATCTCTGGTGACAGTCCACAGATTAAATCAAATGTGAAATGTTAAAAAAAAAAGATAGGGGATACTTGGAATATGTTTAAAAGCTGCAAGGAAGGAATCAGTGGATAGGGAGAGGCTGAAGATTTGTCAAAGGGGATGATCAAAGATGTAATGTGCTAGAGAAGATGAGAGGAGAGATGGGATCAATTTCACACAGCAGAGTGTGTGTGGGGGGGGGTGACAAGAAGGATTACCTACATCATTTTGGGGAGAATGAGAAAAAATGTCAAGAGGTTTTGAGTTTACAAGAATGGAGAAGAGGAAGCTCACATTGCATGGCCTCAATTTTTTTCAGCAAAGACGAAAGTTTCTCAACTTAAAGAGAGAGGTGGGGGATGGTGGAGGTGAGAAAGGAAGAAAAGGTTTGGAATAGCTTCCGTAGGGAATGAGACAGAAAATCAGTTAGGGATGAATAAAAGGGGACTGACTGCCTTGCTCCAGTGAGAGTCCAGTTGAGACTGGGTAACACGAATGTAATATACTCAGTCAAAATCATTGTTAGATGAGGCAGCTAGGTGGTGCAGTAGATAGAGCACCGGCCCTGAAGTCAGGAGTACCTGAGTTCAAATATGGTCTCAGACCAAAACATTTGGCACTTACTAGCTGTGTGACCCTGGACAAGTCACTTAACCCCAATTGCCTTAAAAAAAAAATCATTGTTAGATGTCCTGCAGCTTCATTCACTAGTGAGGCATAGAGGTGGATGGCAGGGCTAATCCAAAGCTGGCATTTGGCAAGAGAAAAGTAGCAACAGAACAAGGAAGTGAAAAGATTTTAAATATAAAATTGCAACGGCTAAATGGTTAGAAAGGGAAGAAAGTGAGAGCCAGGATAATGGCTTGGGAAAGTACAAAGGAGAAGAACTGGTGGTCTCAGGGCAAAGAAGATGAAGGAAAGGTACAGCATAGGGGAGAGAAAGGAGGTTATAGTCAGATAGGGGAATGTCAATTTCTAAACAGGGAAATAGAACACCTACAGGTAACATGTGGCTGTCAAATTGATACAGTCCTAAAGCACAAAGTGAAGGTCTGACCATTTCATACCTTTAATTCAATAAACTCCAGGATTTCCAAAAAACTGCCTATCAGTTCCAGGATCAAATACAAAATCCAGTTTGTCATTCAAATTCCTTCATGACCTGCCCCCTACTCAAGCATCCAATAATCTCTTAATTGTCAATGTGATGGTCTTTTTAGCCCTATCTCAAAACCTGCTCTATTTGAAACTTGCTCACCCTCTTCTAGATACTCCTTGATGAGTTTTCTCCTTCTCACTTTCTCCTGGTTTGGGTTCTTCCTGTCTTTTTCAGTCTCCTTTGTTGGCTGCTCATCACTCATGATATCATGCCCCCTTAATTTCAGGTACTCCCAAGGTTCTATCCAAGGCCCTCTTCTCCCTCTACACTCTCTTGGTAAATTCATCAACTCTCCTGGACTTTGGGCTTAACTATCATGTCTACGAAGATGACTCGACCTCTCCATATCCAGCTCCGGTCTCTCTCCTGAGCTTGCCTTGTATTTAACTACTCTATATACATCTTGATTAGCTTTATAGTTATGAGGTGCCTTTCACGTCCTTCCCCCCCCCAACAGAATATAAATTAACTGTAGGTAAAATTGTTTCAATCTTTATACTTGTATCCCCACTGCCTAACAAGGTGCCTGGCACATAGTGAACACTTAATACTTGTTTACTGATGAGAAACTTAGATACAATAAATGACTTTGCCCAGAATTATATGGTTAACAAATGTCAGAACCGGGATTTGAATTGAGGTCTCCTGATTACAAAATCAAGGTTCATTCCACTATACTACCTCTAAAAGTATATGGCAGGTCCTTGTACCCTGGGAAACTTAAAATTTATCTGCTCAACATGACTTTGGTTCCACTCTTCTCCACTCTTCTTACTTTACTTCTTTCCCCAAATTCCTTTATTCTTCATGTCTAATTCTTTCTTTTGGAAAACTATGAAAGCACAGAATTCCATCTTGGGGAAAAACTGAAATCACAAGAGCCTAGACAGTAAGAAGTTCTAATGAAGTGGAGAGAATTACGCTCTTTTACCCCAAACATTACAATGTAATACTGTACAGGAAGACAATCAAATCTTGGTTTCACAAGCTGACAACCTATAGTACTGTATCAATAGTGGCATACCTTCCTCCTTCAACATTTCAGAGAATTAAACATATCAAAAAAATATTCTGTCTTTATAAGGGAAATGGCCTACTTTTAATTTAGAAGATTCGCATTTAAACAGATTTTTGATAACTCATGCAAAATTTCTCCCATTCCAAACTCTCAACTAAATCCAAATCACTTAGACAAAAACAAACAAAAAAAAACCCTGAACCAATTTGATACTTTACATAGTAGCTTTTTATCTGAACACAGCAGAACTATCTTTTTTTCTCAACACAGTACTCATTTAAGTCCCATTAACAACAGTCCAGTTATACTGCCACGTCTACCGCTACCTTGAGTTAAATGGTTTATTTCCTTAAGGGAACTGGTACCCATTAAATTCAACTGTATTCAAAATTAAAAGAATATCACAGCTGAAAGGGACCTTAGACAAAAATCATTTCCCAATCCTAGTCTATCATGAGCAATATTTGCAAAATACCATTTTACCTGTAATTTTAACCACAAAGAGATCAAAGTGACGGACTGTGAACATCACTTATATTAGTCCCATTACCTAATAATAGTTTCATAGAAGTCACCTAAAACTAAAGACTGCCATGCATGAATATAGTAACCTTTAATATTCAGTGAACTAAGATTTGCTAAACATTGTTCATACAAATGTATATACACATGTACCCCAGATAATTCACTTTTCAAAAGGATAATTTCCTTTCAAAAGAAAACAGAAACCTGGTTTCTTTTTTAAAATTAAGGCTTAGACTTAATTGGAAAAAAATTGGGAAAACCTGAATCAACCCAAGAGACTGTCCCATGAGAACCTATTTTTTTAACCCTCTCAGGAAATCTTGTTCAGGGGACAGCTAGGTGGCGCAGTGGATACAGCACTGGCCCTGAAGTCAGGAGGACCTGAGTTCAAATCTGCACTCAGACCAAACACTTGACACTTACTAGCTGTGTGACCCTGGGCAAGTCACTTAACCCCAATTGCCTAAAAAGAAAAAAAAGAAAAAAAAATCTTGTTCAGAAAACACACAAGCATATAATTGCTTAGGTTTTTTCAACTTTCATATCTCTCACCATACTTTTAAATTCAAAGAGCAATAAAGCAAGTCAAGCTCTCTTAAAAAGCACCCTTTTTAATGAGACAAAATTTCCAGGTAAATAGGGCAACAGAAAGATTAGTAATAAGATAAAAGCAAAGATAAGAAATTTATCTTGTCAAGGTGTTTTCTTTCAGTGACTGATCAATTAAAGCATCCAATGCATCAACCTGGAAATCAATTCAATTTTAATCAATTTATGAAGACTTTCATTATTGTTAAGTTACGGAAATGTTTGCTATTGTTAAATTGAAAAAGAAAGAAAATCTCCTTAATTTAGACTTTAAACAATTATAATAACAACTGCTTGACTTTAATTAACACAGGTGACTTTGTTCCCCCTAAGCTTCCAATCACAAGTATCCTGATTAGGCAAGGAAAGACTACAAATTACCAACTGTCATTTGGGATTGATTAAGTCAACACAAGTATATGTAGTAAGTGCTTGGTAATACTTCAGGGAATATAAGATAAGCAAGGCACAGTACTTGCCCTCAAAGAGACTGAAATCTAATTGGGATGAGAAAAAAGACAAATTTTACAACAGGATGGGATGTTAGAAGGCATCTTGTCCAATCTCTTCATTTCAGAGAAGAGGAAACTGAGGTCCAAGATGTTAAATGACTTACCTAAAGTCTGTAAATAATGGAGTCAAGGCTAGAAGCCCAAATAGTAAAAGGCAGGATATCATGAGTGAGGCATTCAACAGCAAAATACTCCACAATTTCGGCACACTAATGACAAGATGTCTGAAAAACACCGGCCTCTGCAAACATGTACATTTTAAAATTATTTTATTTATGCCTTTAAATCTATTTTAATTAAAATATTTTAATATACATTTTCAACTACCTTTATTGGGATAATGGTTGACTACTGTACTCTCTAGTGAAACAACATAGTCATCAGAGCATTGAAACTATGTATCTAACTTCTTGAGGTTTAAGTCTGGGCTTTTAAGTGTCATTTTTACAGGCTCTTTTGTGGATCAGACTGAGTTACAGTGTTGCTCAAATTGTGGGTTTGCCACAACCACTTAATTTTTTTAAAGTCACTACCGTAAAACATAATTTAAAAGGCTTTTACAACTGCATGAAAAAACTTGTTTGGTGCTTTACACTGAAGAGATGATCAAAAAGGTGCAATTACAAGTGCGTTAATGATTTTTGTTAGATTATCTGATTCTAGATTTACATTATAATAAACATTCCAAATTCAAAATAAAGAAGAGATAAACATTGGAAATTTTAGGAAACATTAAGATACTGTCAATGGATTGTTAATTTAGGTATCAAAATGTTGAAAAAAGTTAATACTTCATTATACAAATTAATTCATTTAAATGAAACTGCAGGATATATTCAATAAATTAACTAATTTCCTATGTACATACAGTAATGACACTACTCTGGTCTACATTTGACAAGGTGTCCACATCACTTAATCAAAATGTCAAGGGCACAGCAGTAACAGTACTTTATAACTGACTATTTCCTATCAAAATCTAGTTTGGAAGCTCACTGGCAATAAAACACAGGCTGAGTTATTCCTTTAACTCAATGATCCTTAATATACATAGAGCTGCCTCAGATAACTTGTCACCATTGCATATTTCTTCAAATGGAGCCACAAGACTAGTTTTTAAATGCCCCCTCTTAATATTCTTATTCAAAATTTCTTAATTTTGCCATTAGTTAATGTTTAAGAGTTAATTTTGTGGCATTCACATTGAAGGACTGTAAAGTATAATTTCACAAAGTAGTTTGGTCAAATAAAAAAATGTCAAAGACCACCCATGTGGTCTACTTAATATTATTACTTAATAGTGAGAATATTATAATAACCATTTATATATATATCCAACAAAACTGATATCAGTAAAAACCCTAAGAAAACCAAACATTTGGCATTTAGATCACATAAATCATGAATGTATCGCTTGATAGATATCCCTTGTCATGAAAGCACATGTACATATTTATAAAAATACTAAAAAATCTGTAAGGCTCTGTAAATGACAAATATTTTATAGCATCCATGGAAGTATGAATTTCACACAACAGTATTTTGCATAACTGAGACTGCTCCAGGTTAATTTTGTTAGAAAATTAACTTTTTTAGAGGTAACCAAATTTATCTCATAGAATCATAAGCTTAAGGACAGAAAGGGGTCTTAGAATTCATCTAGTCAATCACCTCATTTTACAATTAAGAAAACCTCTATTCTACATTACAAATTAAAAACATTCTTTCATCAAGGTTGTTTTTGCATCATCACAAAAATGAAAGCATGTTAAGTCTTCTAATCAGCAATTTATTAATTGTTGATAAGAGTATGATGTTAATAAAGTCAGTTTTGAGTTCAATTCCTTAATAAACTTGTTCCAGGTACTGACTACACTTCTAAGCACTCCCCTACAAAATTCTGCTAGGCCTTCAAAGTCCTTTATAACCCTCCTACCTTTCCAGTCTTCTTAAATCTTAACTCCTCCTGCCACATAATTGTGAATCAAGACACTCCACATCTCTCAGCTCCAGGAATTTTCTCTGGCTGTCCCCTACACCTGCTGCTCTCTCATCTCAGCCTACTGGCTTCCTTTAAGTTCCAATACAAATCCAATATACTACAGGAAGCCTTTCCCAATCCCTCCTTTTACTCTAGTGCCTTCCTTTTTCTAGTTATTTCTATTTATCCCGTATATATTTTGTACATATTTCTTTGCTTATGAGCTTCCATTAGATTTTGAGTTCCTTGAGGCAGGAACTGCCTTTTCCTTCTTTCTGCATTCCCAATCACAGTGCCCAGCACATAGGACCTTAATAAATGGTTACTGACTACTCCCCAACTACCTGCAGTCAGAAAAACTGGACCATCACAAAGGTCACAGGAAACAACTCAAAAGTAAGTGATCAAAGGTCAATAACATCAATTTCAGTTTATAAAGGGTGTGAAAATCTTTAAAGAAGCTGGATAGATTTAATTATGCCAGATTCCTTAAAAAAAAACTTACAAAAAATTATAGAAAATCTCCATTAGTTAACTAAATTTGACAACAGGTCCAGTATAATCATGAACATGGATTGGACCCAAGGCTTTGTATATCAAATATTTTTAAATTAACAGGTTTGTTTTTTTCTTTTTTAAATACACATACAGTACCAGACATACTCTGAACGACTGGAAGGCACAGACAGGAAGACCCAGTGCTAGAGGCTACAGGTGAAAAGACCACACATAGAAGGACAAAGAATAGAAAAATATGACACAAAGTAGAACGATATTGGTATAGAAAAATACAAAATATGTATAACAAAACTAAAGAAGAGTTTTCTGAAGGAAAAGTTTACACGGAAGAGGTGATACCTCAAGGACAGGCCCTGAAGATAAAGAAGCATTTCAAGGTGGACATATGGAAGGACACATTCCAGATGTGGGGTACAGTCTGTACAAATGCAGAGGGAGATGACGAGAAAGATGACAGTTTGTGATGAGAAATGAAATACACCTAAAAAGCCAAGGTGAAACTAGGTTATGAAGGGGCTTCCAATGCAGACTGAAAGATTTTTAAGCAAAAGAGTGATCTGTGTGCAGCAGGATTATTTTGACAGCTTAATAAAGGATCTGTGTCCTGCACCCTCCCCCAATCCTTGTCATCAATTTGGAGGACACATACAAATTCTGCAAGTCTCCCACGGAAGGAAAGACACATATGGGTGGCAGGAATCCAGGAAAGCAGCATAATAAAGGGGGAGCTGTGCCCTCAAAGTCAGGAAGCCTGGGTTCTAGAATCAGCTCTCCCACTAATTAATTGTGTGGGGTAAGGGGAGTTACTCACCTCTCTGAATCGGTTTCCTCCTCGGTAAAATAAGAGGCTTGAACTAGATAACTACTAGAGGTCCTTCCAACTATTAACACTCCACTGACTTTCAGTAAAAGAAAAGCCAGGCCACAGATGTGGTGAGTGCTTATAAATAACTAGAAAATAAAAAGAATAGGGCGAGTATCCTCCATACGGAAAAAGTGCGGCGGTCTGCAAAGTAGGAACGGCCTGAAACCAAACTGGACTCCAACACCAGGAAAGGGGATTCCTGTGAAGGAGGAAGGTCCCCAAAGACTGCGGGGTCTCCATGAGGCTGGAGGAGAAATAAGCTGTCAGCGCCGGGGCCCCCACGGGAGGTGGAGCCTCGGTCCCCGCGTGCATTGTCCCCGGGAGCCATGTTTCTTCCTGCCCGGCTTTCCCAGATGGCGCCCCGCGAAGAAGGAAGCCCGGCGATAGGGGAGGGCGACTGCCCGGAAGGAAGGGACGCCCCGCGGCACGGCGCGGAAGAAAAGTGCCGGCCCAGGTGGCAGCGCTCCCTCGGCGTGGGACGGGACGGGCGGTTGGGGGAGGGGCGAGGCCTGCGGGCAGGGCCGAGGAAGCGGCGGCCCGCGCTGGGAGACGCGGGCGGGGAGGCCCCAGCGGGGGAGAGAGAAGGACGACAAGGTCGGGCGGCCGCGAGAGCACAGACGCGGCGGTTCACCGGCCTTCAACCGCCCAGGCTCCCGGGAGCCGCAGGGCCCCGCCAGGCGCGGAGACGATGCGTGGGGGGCCGGCGTGGACCGGCCTCCGGCGGCGGCAGGGCCCACAACCGCTCGGCTGCCGGAGCGCGGCGGGACGTCCCTGCCCACCCCGGGACAGCCCCTCACCCTGCCCTGGGCTCACTCACCGTTGGCCCGTTTGAGGGCGTTTTCCGGCCTCTGGAAATAGGCCGGCATCTTGGCGGCGAGGTCAGCTCACGCGGCGTTCGGCGGCGGCAACGAGGTGCTCCTTGTGCCGGACCTGGATGGGGAACGCGTCCGCGACCTCTTCACCGGCTCCGCGGGTGGAGGATCGGGAGAGGGGGGTGGCGGAGAGAAGGGGAGAAGAGTCGGCGAGCAACACGCGCTTCGCCAGCGCCCCAGCCTGCCAGAGACGGAAAGGGATAGCCCACGTGACCCCCGCCGGGCGCCACCGCCTCCCAGGCCCCGGATGTGCCGGCGCGCCCGCAGTGTTGGACGCCGGGCCCCATCCACACGCCGCGCCGCGCTGACGTGATGGCGTCACGCGCTTCTGCTTACGTGGCCGAGGGCCTCAGACGGCTTCACGTGGGACTGGGAAAGCATGGGTTGACCTTATCGGGGTCTGCCTTCAGGAGCGCGGGCTTTCGTTTTCGTGACACTTTAAAAGGTCGTAGGCCGTCATTCGCAAAGAAACTTGTTTTAAACAATCCCAAGTGTTAGATTAAACGGATGGAGGTGGTGCTCCAGCTAAGACTGCAACATATGTGTGCCTGTATTAAACTACACGTTGCATTATAGTCGTTGGTGTTCTAAAAGAATGTGAGCTTCCTTCAGGGCCTTGTCAAGTCTTTTTCGTTTTATCCTTGTACGCAGACACCTTGCTGTCATGGTTTGGTTCGAGGTGCACCCGTGGGGGGGGGGGGTTCTGTTAACCCTAATCTAAAAAGTCGAGTGCTTTTTCCAAAGAGAAGACTCCCCAAAGAGTAAATAATTTAGCCCAGTACCCAAGTGTTTGAAATAGAGTGAGGAATGGACAGAAAAGTAGTTTCATGTACAACTCTCTCCTGTTCCACATTGTATATGGAAATATTTATTTTATTTGGTAATTGCTAAGGTCAGAATAAAAAAAATTTTGTAATTTTTTTTAAAAATTACAATTTTTTTTTAAACAGCCATTAGGCTAAGTGTTGGATGACTGTTGTTTCTAACCTGGCTCTGCCCTTTACACTTAATGTGTTCTTGGCCTCTGGCTTCCTCAACAACAAGGGAGGGTGATAATATTGGCACTTACTAAATAAGGAAATTATGAATGACGAGTGAAATAATGAAATATGAAAATACTTTTTTGAAAGTACTTCAATAGAAATCAAAGGTGATATTAGGTGACTATCTCACTAAAGTCCTCTTTCAGTGTTACTTTGTGGTAGAGATGTGACTGTGGGGCAATGGAAAAAAAAAGTCTGAAAGATCCTACCCAGATGGAAAGGCATTGAATTTGAATCCAGGAACAGACTACATTTATGTGATTGGAAGCCTAGTCAGCTCAATTTGAAGAGGCCCATCCCCAGACTCATGGTAGAATGATTAGTTTTTCAGTCACAGGAAATCTCCAAGACCATCTACTCATTCACAGAATTTGCAATTGTTGATTCTATCTCTGCATCTTTTATATCCATCCCCTTCTTTCTATTTACACAGCTGTCACCCTATCTCCCTGTTGGAAATAACTTCCCAATTGGTCTCCTGCTTCTAGTCTGACCTCTCTGTCCTTCATAAAGCTGCTAGGTAATTTTCCTAAAGCACAGGTATGATTGTACCATTGCTTTCCTCAAGAATCTTCAGTGGCTCCCTTCTAACTTGAGAAGTTACAGAGGTATAACTCCCTAGCAACCCAAACCAGATTAAAATGGAACTGGGAAATGTTTAACAAAAATAAATAAAAATACAACCGAGATAATAGTTAATTTGTGGTTTTCTAAGTCAGTATGCCACCAGGGATCCACTTCTATTTGAGTTTGACAACATTGCTCTAGGATAAAATATTGCTGCTGTTAAGTGCTGTCCAACTCTTCATGACCCTATTTGGGGTTTTCTTGGCAAAGATGAAATAGTTTGCCATTTCTTTTCTAGTGGATTAAGGCAAACAGAGGTTAAGTGACTTGCCCAGGTTCACTCAGCTAATAAGTGTCTGAGGCCAAATTTGAACTCAGGAAGAGAAATCTTCCTGACTCTAGGCCCAGCACTCTATCCACTAAGTCATTCACCTAGCTGCCTAGGATAAAATGCAGACTCTGATTTCACTTGAAAGACTGTCACTGTATGTCTCTAGCTTAATTTTCCAGACCTACTTCACATTACTTCCCCTCAGGGACTCTGCTGCACTCCAACAGTGTGCCTGTTGGTTCCCACAACTTAGTGTTTCCTCTCCCACCTCTAAACCTTTTCACTGCTATCCTCCATCTGGAATTAATCAATCAGCATTTATTAGCACCTATATAGAGCAAAGACAGAGCTAAGCGCTGGCGATACAGAAACAAAAAGGAATTATTTTGTTTCTTTTCATGTACCTCTTAAGATTCTTAGCTTCCTTCTGGGTTTGACTGCTACACATTCTCCTACCCAGAAGGCTTTCCTGATCCTCCCAGTTCTTAGCGCTCTCTCTCCTCAAATTCCCTGGTTTGTTATTACTTAACTGTTTACATATTACATCCCATAGAAGTCTGTAAGGTGCTTGTAAGGGTCCATTTTTTGGTTGTTGTTTTTCTGTCCAATGAATAGCATAGTAATGGCTTTCATATACTTAATAAATGCTAATTGAATCGAATTAAATTTGAATGTCCTGGTAAACGCTTAGCATGTGCCTTTAGACAGGCACATGAGATACTCGCTAGATGTTTGTTGCATTGAACAAAATACAAAGTAATTGAAACTTACAAGTGCACAGCAGAGAACAAAAGAAAACTTAGGAGGAAGCGAAGAAAAAATGGACAGCTCTCAACAAAACACGTAGTATTTATCATACATGCTTTCTTGAAATGAAAATTGATTGCTATATGTTTTGAATCCTCTCTTATGTTTTGCTGTGCACGTGACTTTTTTTCCCCTTTTCTTTGTATTTAAGTTTCAATATTTAAGTTTATGATATGTTTCTTTTTCTTTTCTCTATTCTGTATCTGAGTTTTCTATACCTGGTGCTTGAGTCTAAAATTTTAAAAATCTAAGAAAAAAGAAACTTACAAGAGAAATAAGATACAATGAAACCTTACCAATTCAAATTGAGAAATAATATTAATCTCACTCAGCAAACTATGATCTATGTTCAGTGAATAATAATAGCTGGCTTTTATAAAGGATTTAAGATTTGCAAAGTACTTTACAAACACTATCTCATTTGATCCTCACAATAACTCTAGGAAGTAGTTATTATTATACTCATTTTATAGATGAGGAAACTGAGGCAGACAGTGATTAGATGACTTACTCAGTTTCACCTAGCTGGTATGTATTTGAGGCAGGATTTAAATTCAAGTTTTCTTGAAAAAAAAAACAAGTTTTCCTGATTCCAGCTCTAGCTCTCTATCCATCATGTCACTAGCTGCTACAAATGAATCTGGTATGCTGGAGTTGGAGAGAGAAAAAAAAAAAGCAACCACAGCTCATATGTAGTTTACAAAGTGTTTTCCTAAAAGCAGTTCCTCTGTGAAGTAAGTTGTATAGGTATTAACTTCCTTTTAAGTAGGAGGCAACTAAGGCTCAGAGAGATTATATGGGTTGTTAAATATCATACAGCACATTATAGTCAGGCCTCACCTTTTCACCAACTGTCCACCATGCCTAAAATGCACACCCTTTGCACCTCCACCTCTTAGAATCCCTAGTTTCCTTCAAAGTTCAAATTAAGTACTCTACCTTATGAAAAAGGCTTCAGTTAGTGTCTGCTCTCTCTCTCAAATTATTTCCTAGGCACTTATTAGTTTGCCTGACATATACTGCAGTATGATGTACATTTTTTGAGAAGAGGTACTATTTTCCTTTCTTGTCCTTTTATACTTGTGCCTTGGACATAGCAGACTTAAATGCTTATTGAATTGCACTGAATGAGTGGAATCTAACAGGCACAAAATTGGGTAGGGGAGGGAGGGGAGAATAGGTACCTGAGTTTTGTTTATTCAACTATTTCAACAGATTTAAATGAGTCCTAATATAGCAGGAACTACTGGTCTTTCTCTCCTTTGTATGCAGTAATGCTGAGAAAACATGTGGTTTACTCCTCCTCCTCTTCTATGTTTATGGAATCAATCCCAGGTAATTTCATAACCCCAACCAGTTGTCTGAGAGGGAACTGAAAGTGACCTGAGACAATGGGAGAAAAAGTGGGTGCTCTTCTGATCCTCTAGAGTTATGGGAGTCCTAGAGTTATGGGACATTCTCCAGCTGCATGCTGGAGAAGAAAACACATCAGACTGTAAGAAATAACTAGGATTCATAATGGAATTGGAGAAAGGGAGCTTCTTGCAAGATTCAAGGGGCGGGGTTTCCTGACCCCTGTGAGAGCACCAAATTTAGAATTAAAACTGTAAGTTATCTGTAAAAAAGAGGGATTGGGGCAGCTAGGTGACACAGTGGATAGAGCACCAGCCTTGGAGTCAGGAAGACCTTAGTTCAAATCAGGCCTCAGACCAAACACGTGACACTTACTAGCTATGTGAGCCTGGACAAGTTACTTAACCCCAATTGCCTAAAAAACAAACAAAAACCGGAGGGATTGGAATAGGTCAGTGGTACCCAAAGTATTTTATTCTAAGACCTCTTTCAACAACAGGGAAATTGTGTTGTAGAACCCCCAGGATCATTTAATATGCTACTTATGATATTCTGCAATTATTTACTGCTTAAGGTGCCACTAAACAATGTTTAATATGGTCTCCTTGGACTATTGTCACAAACCCCTAACGGGTCTGAAAACCACCAAACAGGAAACCACTGAAATAGATTATTTCTAAGGGTTTCCAGATCAAATTCTTTGCTCCTATAATTTCTCCTTCTTGAAGACTCTTCTGATATTGCAGTTCTTGCAGCTCCAAACCATGACAACGTTCTCCTCATGATGCAATATAGCTGTGAATCATGAAACACCACAGTCTCAGAAAAATGAAAAT